AGGATTTGTAACAGGTTCTATCAAATCGCCTCCTTCGACAGATGCAAGTTTCGCGTCATGGCAACGGTGCAACGATATGGTCTTGTCATGGCTATTGAACTCTGTTAATCCAGACATAGCAAGTAGCGTCATATATGCAAAAACTGCTGCAGAGGTTTGGGCTGAGCTACAGGAGCGTTTCTCTCAAGGGAATGACTCAAGGATTTATCAAATCAAGCGAGAAATCGCAGAACATAGACAGGGACAGCAACTGTTTCTGGATACTATACCAAACTTAAGGCTTTTTGGGATGAGCTTTCATCCTATAATGACTCTCTAACCTGCTCATGCGGTGGCATGGAAAAGCTTAACAAAAGGGAAGAGAAGGAGAAAGTCATGCAATTTCTCATAGGATTGAATGATAGCTATTCCGTCACTCGTGGACAGATCTTGTTGATGTAGCCACTACCCGACACTCGCCGTGTTTATTCGCTCGTGCTTCAGCAAGAAAAACAGGTGGAAGTTTCGCTCAATCGTGGCAATATTAATCATCATGCTATGTTTGTAGATCAGCATAGTAGAGCAATACAAGCAAATCAAGCTCAGAAGCAAAAATCAAGGGACACATTACATTGTTCATACTGTGATCAAGACTATCATAGCATTGAGAAATGTTATTTTCTTCATGGATTTCCAGTGGGCCACAAACTCCATGAAAAAAATGTCAAGCTTCCCAATAAACGGCGTTCGAGTGCCAATTATGTAAATATTGAATCAGGAAAAGTGGCAAATACAGGTCTTCTAATGATGAACCTAAATTCACAACTGAGGAGTATAATCAATTGATGGCCGTGCTTCGGCAAAATAATGATGGTAATCCACAACACTTTGCAAACAACACAGGTATTATTACACCATCTTCTGATGTTATTCCAGCCACTTGTCCCTCAAATTTATGCTGGATTATTGATAGTGGAGCTACAGATCATGTGACATCTTCAACTGAGTTATCAGATAAAAAGTATTTACCCAAATCAGTCACCATTCAGTTGCCAAATGGTGGTCAGACACAAATTGAATCAGTTGGTTCTTTACATGTCACACTAGATATCAAACTTGATGAAGTGCTTAAAGTTCCTGAATTCCATGTCAATCTGTTATCTGTTAGCAAGTTGACATGAGCATTGAAGTGTATAGTGATATTCTTTCCTGATTTTTGTGTCGTGCAGGACGCTGCTACGAAGAAGATGATTGGCCTGGGAAAGCAACATAATGGTCTCTACTACCTTACCAAACATCAGCATAGAACCTTAGCCTACAACATCAGCAAACACTCGCATATGTGGCACCAACGACTTGGACATCCATCTTCAGGCCCGCTTCAAGTTCTTACCAAAGTCAATCCAATAATTTATTTTGATTCCAATCATATCTGTGAAATATATCATTTAGCCAAACAAACTCGTTTATCTTTTCTGTCTAGTTCAATCTCTTCACACTCA